TCTGCAAAACCACATGGTGTTTCTGTCACTGTACATGGAAGTCAGTCAAAAGCGCTGCCAGATAACAGGGAGGCAAAAAGAAAGTGGATATTCTTTTTTATCTGCACTGTCAGAAATAAAGGTTCTGTGCAGGTACATTTTTCTTTCATCAAGATACAAACAATGTAAATGTTCCCTCAAAAGTACAACAGTGGTTTTAGGGTCTAATTGTGCTCCTTAAATAAGTTTTTCCAGGTGAAAAGTACATATTTATACTTTTTCATAACCGAATGTTTTAAAACAGAACAATAAAATAAAGAGCCTGGAGACGAGACGGGGTGTGTGGAGTCAATACAACCTAGAAAATATCATTTCAGTGGATTATGGTTCAGTTATGTTCCCTGACTAAAGGTAATGAGATGTACCCTTGAGGGTTCCACCCCTGTGACAAGAGGGGTCCTGACCCAGTGACAGTTTTGTACCTCTATTTCTGAGAGTGTGTGGTCCTGCTCGCCAAAAACAAACACACGTTTGTACAAACACTGGATGAAACCACGACCACATATTCTTGGGTGACACGAATACATTTGCTAACCACACACAACTGCAGCAAACGTCACACGAGACTTACGCGTTTGGGCTATCAAAACACACAGAACGCTCTATGCCAATGTAAATCATGTTATGGTGCTTAAGCAAATGTATGAACAGTTTAAAAACATGAAGACACTACTGTCATTCATTTAGCACTTTAGCCACAACATAATCAAACTACTATTTAGCACATATACAAACACAATCATTGACTACCAAAGCAGCAACTACTAATAAACCACAGGGTGCTGGAGGCCTTGTTCACTCTTAACATGCCATAATCCCTCAGCACACAAGTCAGGAGACATATTTCAACACAACCTGGTGAAGGATCCTAAAAAGAGAAGAAGCCAGTGTCCTGATCACCTGTAGTCCTTTTCTAATACAGTGCAATATCGCTGTACACTGTTAGAAATAAAGGTGCTGTGCAGGTACGTTTTTCATTCATCAAGGGACAAACAGTGTAAATGTTCCCTCAAAGGTTCAACAGTGGTTTTAAGGTCTGATTGTGAACCTTAAATAAGTTTTTCCAGGTGAAAAGTTCGTATTTGTACCTTTTCATATCCTGATGTTTTAAAACAGAACAGTAAAATAAAAGCCTGGAGACGAGACGGGGTGTGTGGAGTCAGTACAGCTTAGAAAATATGATTCTAATGGATTATGGTACAGTTGTGTTCCCTGACTAAAGGTGCTGAGATGTACCCTTAAGGGTTCCACCCCAGTGACAAAAGGGGCACTGCCCAGTGACAAGGTGCAGCAAAGAAATACACTTTATTACAGCATGTAATTTAAATATCTCTGCTATTGCTCACTGTGCTATCTTGCATCTATCAGCAGGATACAAAACAACTTGTGCTCATACCACTTGGCCTGTCACAATTATTACATAATCGCCTGATTGCAATTATTTATGCTGATCTCAATTATTTTCCACAGTTGATGCAACAAACAGATTGTGAACTGGGTACATTTTGATGTATTGGTTTGAGGGAAATACATGTAAGTAAAGAAAATCAAACGTGGCAATCATTACTGGAAGGATTTATCACTCCGTCCCTCAAAAAGGCAAACAAAAGAATACTATTCTACAGAAAAAGGTGACTTGAGTTTTCACATTTTCATTTAAAAGTGAAAATGAGAGACGCATTTGATATGGGAATCTCACCAATGCCGATATCTAATGTTTTTTATATACCTAACTGCTGATGCTGATACACTTACACTGTTAGAAATAAAGGTGCTGTGCAGGTACATTTTTCATTCATCAAGGTACAAACAATGTAAATGTTCCCTCAAAGGTACTATAGTGGTTTTTAGGTCTGATTGTGAACCTTAAATAAGTTTTTCCAGGTGAAAAGTTCGTATTTGCACCTTTTCATATCCGAATGTTTTAAAACAGAACAATAAAATAAAAGCCTGGAGGCGAGACGGGGTGTGTGGAGTCAGTACAGCTTAGAAAATATCATTTCAGTGGATTATGGTTCAGTTATGTTCCCTGACTAAAGGTGCTGAGATGTAGTATTAAGGGTACCACCCCAGTGACAAGAGTGGTACTGCCCCAGTGACAGATTAGTACCTTTATTTCTGAGTGTTGAACTGGGCAATAAAAATGGTCCAAAACTGCTTGGAATACAAACTTTTTACATTAAATTACATTAAAAGTTTTTCCCTCTTCTGAAAAGTTACTATTCTTGAGACACCAACGATATACAAGTTGACGGCCAAGCAAAGACAATAGGAAATAAGGGTACGGCACAAGACTCACAACACGACAAACATCCATGCGACAGTTTGTTTTAGTGCATGAGTCTCAATTGAGATCTGTTCCTGAGGCAGTGACCTTAACTCAGCATTCTGGCCGATACAGATACATAAAGAAAAGTGTGTGAGACGCCGCTGCTCGATAAGAGTGCACTCTCTGTATAAAGATCGCTGACAAGCGGATGTACACAGTGTGTATTCAGCTGCAGTAGTACAGACCAGGTATTTACAGCTCACAAACTAACCAGATACTATAGCACAATTATCACTAAATCCTCATAGAGCTCTGCTTTTCACTGCTCTGCCATAAACTTTCACGTGTAAGACTTCCTGTGAGAATGTGTGCGCAGTTTTGTTTCTGAGACACTGACCTTAAAAGGGCTCTTAGCAGATACAGAAACATAAAGACGTGAGAGTGAGGACACAGAAACTGATGAGGATCTGTATCAGTCCTCCTGCATCTTCACCATGCCATCAACTTTTCATATGCATATCAGACCATGTGATAGTTTTCAACAAGATTTTTGTGTCTGCACTTTGTTTAAAGCCTTCTGAATAAATTATTATTATTATTATTATTATTATTATTATTTATTTTTTATAATAAATGTTTTTGGGAGTATTACACATGAGAAATATCAATGCTGTATTATGATTAATACTGCCTTTAATAGATAAATAAAAATGTGTGCTTTTCCTGCATTACAATGGTTCTACTAGGACTTTCAATAATTGAAATACTGTGTTTTGGAATAAAAAATTAAACCCCTTCATGTACGTATGTGTATATATATATATATATATATATATATATATATATATAAATAAATAAATAAATAAATGAATATTATATATCATGACCCTGTGTATCATAAAGAAATTCTTGAAGTATTGTGGTGTGTGTGTATCTGTGTGTGTGTACATACACAGACACACACACACACCTACACACACACACAATACTTCAAGAATTTTTTTACAATACAATGACACAATATTTATTTTTTCTGACATCTGAAGTTCAAATACACAAAGTAAGCCCACATTTTAGAAATACTATAAAAACTTTTAATTCAATTATCTGTATTCAACATTTCACACACTGTGCTGCACTGAATCTAATTAAACAGGACTAATTGAGATCTCTTTGTAACCAAACATGCAGTTGGTAATTTGATTTTTAAATGCTGACGTACTGATGATATAGAAGATATGCTCATAAAAACATACTGTGATGTAATTTATCACAATAACGATAAATACTGCCACATTATATATATACATACATATATGCGTGTGTGTGTATATATATATATATATATATATATATATATATATATATATATATATATATATATATATATATATATATATATAGATCGCTGCTGTCGTAACAAATCCTCATATCTCCAAAACGATAACTTTACAGAAGAAGCATAAAACATGCTTTACTTATAATGTATGTCAGTGGAACCAGATTTTTTTTACAAGTAATTTTGGGCCTTTTCTTTCGGTCAGTTCATCATGAAATTTTTGATGAACGCAAAGGGCCACAGGCGTTTTCAAATTATTTCAAAAAGTGAAAAAAGCCCAAAAATGGAGATACATACATACATATATAAACACACAAACACATATATATATATATAATTATTTAAACTAACTATGTTAAATTAACAACATACAGAGTATTAAACTGAGTTAAAACACTCATCACATGTGCATGTTGAACTATTTGTGAGAACTCCTGTGATGACTGCCACAGAAATAAGAGAAACAAAACAGGACTAGCACTTTCTGACAAAACAAACATCTCACTCAAAATCCCCCCCCCCAAAAAAAACACCAGTGATGAGGAAGCAGCACACAGTATTAGTCTAAAAAATCAGCTGCAGTCATACAGAGCCTGCGTTTAGGACTGAGACACTACCAGAGAGACGCACATGCAAACAGAGGCGCCCATCAGTGGGAGCGGTGCAGCAGCACTGTGGTGGTCAGAGCAACACTCAGCACTAACAGCACTAACAGCAGTCCAGCACCGCTGGAGTGAGTGCGCTAATTACGGGCACAGTTACCCGGTGCTACCCCGCTCGCTCTCTCTCTCTCTCTCTCAGCGCAGAGCATCACCATCACCATGCTGTCATGTGCAACTTGCGCTTGCAGCTCCTCCATGTGCACTGACCAATTTACATTCCACTGGGCGACAGTCTGAAAAGTCTGCAGCAGGACTCTGTCCTGTAGCCTTTCTTTTGCAAGGCGTGCACTGCTCTCAATAAACTTCTCAGAGCTTGTGCAGCCTTGTTTAGATTTCAGTCACATCCTTATCCACGCATACATACATACACACACAGAGAACGCCTCCGCCCAATTCCTGCAGCACGGCTGAGTTGAATTAAAGTTTATAACGGTTTATAACTGGCAGCTTATAAATCAGCATACAAAACGCCTGCTGGAGGAAAGCAAAGTCAGTGAGAAGCAGTGGAAGTGTAATGAAGCCGATTCGCCAGCCTTCTAGCTCGAATTTTTCCGTTCCACCTTAAATGGTGCAGCAGTTACTTGAGTTGACTGAGGCGCTACAATGTAACTGCTGCACCATTTAAGGTGGAACGGAAGAATTGGAATGAGAGCGCTGGAGAACAGTAGCCTCGTGAAGAAAGTGTACCTACTTGAGCCGAGGAAACAGTCCGTGAACCTTCTGAAACAGCTTGTTGAAGGCGGACCATCTTCCATGTCGGACCAAAAGAGCAAATTAAAAAAAAGGAGGGGGAAGAGGAGAGAAAAGGGGCTCTCGCTGAGGAAGAAGGCAATCCGAGCGTTGGCGGTGAAACGATCCGAGCAGCGAGAACCGCCGCGCTGCGCTGCGCTGCTGCTAAGTCCGGCAGAGGAGACGATGATACCGCTGAGCTCTCTCACTTTCTTTCTCTTTCTGTCACTCACACGCACTCTCACACACTCCCCCTCGCCGCTGAAGTGATAGGACTCGCCTCAGTATAAAAAAGCTAGTACACGTAACAGGGGAGCGTCGTGTGGCGAGGAAAACTAGTGCCTGCTAGCGCGGAGCTGGCCGTCGCTCACGCCGAGCCTGCGCGCTTCTTCCCCGGCTGCAGTTCCGCGGAGCTGCCGCTGAAGGAGCCGAGCCCAGCCGCCCTCCGGAGACACACTGCTGGAGGAGTGTGTGTCGTCTCCGGCTTCTGTGCGTGCGTGTGTGAGTGTGTGTGTGTCAGGGGTCTGCTGGGGGGCGTGAGGGGAGTGATTTCTCAGGGTTGGTCATCCTCTGGTTTTATATGCGCGGTGAGGCAGGACGTTTTACGGAGTTGCTTGACTTGAACGCAGGAGAGCAGAACGACTCTGAACATGAAGCTCGGCGCTCTTACTGCAGAAAAGCTCCTGTGAGCTGCTCGCTTAACTCGCTTAACTCGAAATCGCCCACGGCGCATCTATCTCGGCCACATTCAGGCCAGATACCGGGAACATCTCGCCGCTCCAGTGACTGAGTTGGGCATAAGGAGAGTCTAACTGCTCGCCACACCCATACAAGTCTGATTAAACGGAGCCATAAGTAAGAAATCAACTGTTTGCTGGCGCTGCAGCAGCAGCAGGGCTGCTATGATGCTGCTCTTTGACGTCAGCACGCGTCAGTGTGTGTGTGTGTGTGTGTGTGTGTGTGTAAGTAAGAGAGAGAGCTAGTGAGAGAGTAAGAAGGCAGACAGAGACGGAGAGACTGCGAGAGAGTGAAAGACTAGAAAAAGAGTAAGAAGGAAGACAGATAAGAAAAAGAAATACAGAAAGTGAGAGAGGAAAAAAATAGAGGGGAAAAGATAGCGTGTGAGACAGTAAAAGAAAGAAAGAGAGAGAGCAGAAAAATAGAGACAGAGAAAGAGCGAACGATTAAAAGAAAGTGAGAGTAAGAAGATAGAGGGGAAAAGAGATAGAGTGAGAGTAAAAGAAAGAAGAAAAATAGAGACAGAAAGAGTGAAAGAGAAGTAAAAAGGAGGAAGACAGACAGAAAGTGAGTAAAAAGATAGAGAGGGGGAAAAGAGTGTGAGAGAATAAAAGAGAAGGAAAGAGTAGAAAAACAGAAAGATTAGAAAAATAGAGAGAGGGGGGAGATAGTGAGAGAAAGAAAATGAGTAAGAAAGAAAGCGAGAGAGTTTGTAATGCAATGTAATCTAATATACAGTCCAAATAATATTGTTAATATACACTGATCTAAGATAAACAAACACACATGTACACACTTTGGCAACACTACAGCTCAATATGGTCATACTGATAAAGCGTCTTTGGACTGAGAGAGTATGTATGTATGTATGTATGTATGTATGTATGTGTTTATACTGTCAATAAAAGGAGAATTCCACTGATTTTGTTTTCTAAATGGGTCATTCTACAGAAACGTCCATAGCGTTACAGATATATTACGCCTGAAAAACATGTTAGGGTTACAATTTATTTATATTTTAAAATAAAACAATTCGTTATTTTAATAATGACACCTTCTTGAGCCTCAATTTAGCAATATTGTTTTTAAAATCAATCATATAGAATTCCAAGCACCACAGAAGAGGCTTTAAGTAAAGTAAAGGGTAAAGGCTGAGGCCATATTTTGAGGTAAAAAAGTTTTTCTGCAATTTTAACTGCAATAATCTATACATGAATATGGGATATATCATGTACATGACATAAAGCAAACAAATGCCGAATAAATATTATCAAATATATAATGAAAGTTGTTATCCCCAGGAGTCGTGTCACTGGTGTTACAGCGTAACAAAAAATCTCTTATTTTGAAATAAAAATCACACTGATGACATCACTCGACTTCCTTTTACCTGTTTACTGAGGATCTATGAAGAAAAGCACATGGTGAGTCCACTGTGTCTTTCAGTTATCAGAGATTTTCTCATTTAGCTCATGATTTCATATGAAGCTTTTAGCTGAAGTCACTGGTGTGACCGACTTTATTCTGAGAAAATTGTGAAAATATAGAATACAAATGGATTAAATTCCATATTTTAGTGGATATTCCATGACTGACAACATGTGGTTTGATGCTCTGTAGCAGTTATTTTGTAAAATGCATTTTTCACTAAAATGTCTCTGGTGTTACCTTTCTTATGTGTAACCCCAATGAGGACTGGTAACACCGGTGACTCCTATGGAGAGATAGAAAAGTGAGCGTTTCTGTAGAACGACCCAAATTCATACATAATTAAATGGTAAATAAAGTCATTCAGAGTGGTTTGGTGTGAAAAGCTCCGTTCTAGAGTCAGAACTGTTCACAGTGGTAGTGATAGGAACCAGACGTCCACCTCTAAAAGCTCCCTCACAGAAAGTTATTACATGAAATGGTTATGAATACATTGGAGACATTGTTTTATAATCATTTTGAGAAGGTTTTGACCTGAAAATGTACTTTTTTTAAACACATATGTGGTGGATGGGTACATGCAGGACGTTGTGAGGAAAAAAAAAGTCAGCAAAAAAATGTAGTTTTTCAAATTTATCACTGTTTTACCATCATCATCATTATCTATAAAAGCTCAGAAGACTCGCGTAGGTTCACTGGTGGTTTTGGATAGTAAATAAAGTGGCTATATTTGTGTTGTAGTCATGGTGACCCCTGGTTCCTATCAGCACCACTGTAAAGGAATCTGAGTCAGTATGTTTTTCTACAATGAACCATTTCACACCAAACCACTCTGAATGACTCTGTTCACATCTCAGTGACTGAAATATGCAGACGTTTAGAAAAATCAGTGGAATTCCCCTTTAGAGGACAAATCAAGAGTTATCTTGCACATAGCGCTGCATGAAAAACACAAGGTGATACAAAACAACTGTGCAAATACAAGTCAGTGAGATGAATGTGTGCGACACAGGTACACTCTAGAAATGTCGCTGTTGCAGAAATTTCACTTAGAACACTTTAAACTCAAAGCCAGATGGAAAAGCAGAAAAACAAGCCTTCCACTGGTTTATTGCTGGTCCAGGCCTTAGCATGATGCAAGTGTTTCCCACAGATCTCTCAAAGTGATTCGCAACGGCTGATTAAGACGTAGTTGAGTCTATTTGCCCCGTTCAAGGACGAGTTAAAGCATTAGGGCTGCTGTTCTTTACCAGCAGACTGAGGAATGCACACAATCCCAGCAATAGCTTCGCTGTAGGTTGTATGTTTATCAAGTGCGTTTCACCTTTAAACAGGTGAGGCAGATAAAAGAACAAATAAAAAACTAGAAAGGGGAAGTTCGCGAACGAACTTTAAGTTGGCTTGAAAAAATATAATCATAACTTAAATCCACTGCCGCTGTAAATTCATTGCCACCTTAAATTCACTGCCACCTAAAATTCATTACCATCTTTAATTCACTGATACCTTAAATCTACTGCCATATTAAATCCAGTGCCACCTTAAATCTCTTGCTACCTTAAATTTACTGATACCTCAAATTCACTGCCGCCTTAAATGTCCTGCTACCTTATGTTCATTGCTACCTTAAATACACAGCTACCTTAAAACCACTGCTACCCTCAATGCCACTGATACCTTAAATCCAATGCCTCCTTAAATTCACTGCCACCTTAAATGTACTACCACCTTAAATTTACTGATACTTTAAATGCACTGCCACCTTACATTTACTGCCACCTTAAATTTATTGATACTTTAAATACACTGCCACCTTACATTTACCGCCACCTTAAATTTAGGTATAGGTCCTACAATCCAATTTTTGTGGTTCTAGCTCGAAAACTGCAGGACGAGAAACATTTTATTTTTTGAGCATAGAATAAGAATAATAATAATAAGAAGAAGATTATGAAGAACAGTAAGTTGGCTTTTTCAAGCCCACCTAATTAATACAAAACCAATCAAGAAAAATGCCATTTTAACATGGTGTCCTTATGCATATATACTTCTTTGGCATATGGAAAGAGAGTTTGTAATGAACTGTAGCTATTAATAACACAGGTAAAAAAAAAAAAATAAAAAGGCTCCTCAGATATTCCTCACCTTATGTAATGATTTGACTGCCTGTTTGTACATACAGAATCAAATATGAGCTCTCAGCAATTCTAATCTGTAAAACAGCAACAATCAGCCTTTTGAGTGCCATGGTTTGGGTACATTTCACTATGAGCAAAAACACATCTCACTTACATGACATTAATACAAAGGGAATGGATGGAGGATGGCAAATTTACAAAGAGGATGATTTTTGATATTTATTGAGTGAGAGGATGGCACCCTCTTACACCCCCTCCTAAAATGAGCCCTGAAGGCCTGTATATATTACAGTACTGTGCACCAAAGTGCATAATTTAAAACCATTTATCATGTATCATAAGACTGATGCAAAGAGAAATACATACAGTAAAAAGTAACAAGAAATTCTTGTTTTCCAAAAAGTAGTTGATATTTTGATTCCTGTGAGTTGAGTCTTCAGCTATCAGCAGCCCTCTTGATGTAACAAATTGATTAATTCACCAAACCAGGTATTGGATGATAACAATGATGTGTAAAATCATTACCAGTTATTCTAATGTTATATCTATTTAGTGTAATATTAGTGTTTTTCTCAGCAAATAAATGCTTATTCCCCAGATATGTCTAATTATCTGATTTTCTCATGTGCCTCAGACTTTTGCGCAGTACTGCGTACATCTATACATTCACCAACCAGCCACTTCATTAAGTACATGATGTGCACTTCACATTTCAGAGCCCTGACGCATCTTCTTACATCTAGACTCGTGGTCTATTTTATCAGTTCCTACCATATAGGAGTACATTGTACAATTACAGACTGTAGTCCATCTGTTTCTCTGCATACTTTGTTAGCCCCCTTTCACCCTGTTCTTCAATGGTCAGGACCACCACAGAGCAGGTATTATTTGGGTCCTGGGTCATTCTCAGCACTGCAGTAACACTGATGTGGTGGTGGTGTGTTAGTGTGTGTTGTGCTGGTCTGAGTGGATCAGACACAGCAGTGCTGCTGGA